TTTCCAACTAAAGGGCAAGTTATTCGGATTCGCTTCACTTTCTAACTGAATGGATGCTGATTCCCCCACCCCCCCCTTTCCCTTTTCTTATGTAGATATTTCCTTGGAAACTCACTCCTATGGTCACTGAAAAGAACAATGTGCTTGCAGATATTCGGCAGATGAGGTAAAAAGGTGTTCTCTTTGAATGTGATCTGTTAGCCACATCACTGTATCCATAAGGAATGTAACATATCCCTTGGCACATTAAATTTAGTTGTATTAATAAAAAACTACTTCGCCTACGAGGAATAAAAGTTTAGCTGGGTTACCTTGGTGAGATTGGCTCAATCAAAAACATGACCGAGCTGGTACATAATTTTCATAAGGAATTGAAAGAATTCAAGGAACTAGATAGTTATTTCCAGAAACCCCTTCAAACCCACCCCCTTTTATTCTACCAGATAATTGACCTTGTAATTTCAGAAAGCAAAGACCTCATTTTGACTTACGGGTTCAGAATATCATCAGAACACCTCAGAACAGGAAACAAATATGTTTAAGAATCACATTTAGTGATCACCATATTATCCAAGCTATAGATATTACATATGCTCCCACTTCTTGAAAGCTGTACAGTTCTCCAGCTTTTAAATTCACTTCAGACTAGCAAACACTCACTGAATGAGAATATTAAATTCATAGCAGCTGAATTATAGACACAGAGGAAGTAGATGGAAACTTACCTTCTCATCTTGCAGTTTCTTCCGCAGATAAAGCTTGACCATCAATCTTACACTGGGCGTAAGTGATTTTATTCTTTTCTTGTCAACCTTGGACAAAGCCTGGCATTCAACCTTATGCAACTTCCAATCTAACTTCTGCAGTTAGCTTCACTATAATTATAAATTGCCCAAACGGAAATTAAAAAAGACAAATAGCTATATGTGGCACTACGCCTCAGTCCCAAACAAGAAAAAATAATCTGAAATCAGCAATCAGATATACTGAATTGTCAAGTACGAAGTGTACCTGGCATGTATTGCCACAGTAGTAAACAACATGGCAAGCAGAACATTTCTTAAGGTTAGTTGAAGTGAAACACCATTCACATTTTGCTGATGATTTGTTTGGAACTGAAACATATGGCTCTTCCCATATAATTACTTCCCCTGTTATCCAAAAAAAATCCCATTTAAGTTTCACATAGTCTTATTAAACCTTAGGTATGTTCCTAAATTTTAACGAATTTAAAATGGAGGAAGACCTGGAGAGAAATCACGAGTAGTGTAAAGGCAGCGACCCTTTTCCGGCATAGGCGACACTGTTAGCCCCTTATCAGTCAACGTTTTCTGTAATTCTTCCATTGACGAAGCAGAAATCTTCTTCTGCAGAGCCATGAGACTTGAGAGCTCTACAATGTTTAGAGTGGAATAGCCAAAAGCACTTCTTTTTCAGAAAAAAATGATTTTTTTTTTTTTGTTGAATTGTTTGGCCAAGCAAAAAATGCAAAGCAAAAAAAAAGTATCCAAAACACTTTTTTAAAAATATTTTTCAAAGTATTTTTTAAAAGTTTGGTCAAATACTAATTATTGTTCAGTAGTATTTTTTAATTAATTAACAAAACACAAATTACTTCTTAACAAAAGTACTTTTAAAAAAAATACTTATAAAACAAATACTACTTTTAAAAATAAGTTGATTTTAGAAGTTTGACCAAACAAGCTAAAAGTATAAGAGGGTGTTTGGCTTTTTGGCTTATGTACGCGTTTGGTAAAGTTAAAAGTGTTTATAAGCCAAGTGCTTATAAGTCATAAGCTGGTAACCCCCAGCTTATGAATTTTTAGCTTATAAGTACTTTAAGTTTGACCAAGATTTTTACTATTTTATCCTTAAAATATTAAAATAAATTATATTTATCATAAAAATTATCTTATTTAAGCACAGTTGTATTTAAAATAAAATGACAAACAGAATATTTTGTATTTGAATCGATCTGGAATCTAAAATTTTGAAGAAGTTACGCCTTGATATGTGTAAACATTTCTAAGGTTATTTAAGTCATTTTAATAGAAAAAGAGCTTATCAGCATTTTTTTATCAAATACTGCAGCAGCTTATTATCAATTTCAGTACTTGTATCCAAACACGTAACTGCTTATTTATTAAATCAATTTCAGCACTTAAAAGTGCTTTTTAGCACCTAATGCTTATCAGCTACTTCAAATCAGCTAATTCAAATGTGCTCTAAGTCACAATATAATATTAGAAATGGACCTCGAAAGTTCGAATAAATGGGGTTAAACATACATCCTTATATGTTTTTGATCTTAATGATTTTAAAATAATAAATAAATCGATCCTAAATAATTTCAATTTAAGAGATTATAAAACTTAAGCCTCTCTAAAAATATTTATGGCCAATTGTCACTTTTTAAAAATAGAAATCAAATCTAGTCAAAGATATGTCAACTTTTTACACAGTTTTGTTTGATTGTTTGAATGTTTCATTCTTATTTTTATTTTTTTGTGTTTTTTGGCGAAATAGTTCGGGACCCTTAAATTAGGCAACTTTTTTTCAGTTTTCCCTTAAACTTTACGTAATCTTTGGTATCCCCTGAACTTGGCAATTTTAAAGCATCGATCCCCGGACGCTGACAATTTATGGGAGTGTAACACACGCGTTGCCACATGGATTTTTTGTCCATGTGGCACTTTTAATAATAAAATATATATTTTTATCTTTTTAAGTTCGCCAACTATTTAAATCATTTTTTCGTGCCAGAATCTGTAAAAATAAATAAATTTAAAACAATATTATTTTGACTATATTTTTTTATGTGGTCAAAGACTTTTAAATATTTGGTAGGAAAAGAAGGAATGCACAATTAGAACATATTATCATTGTTTTTAAAAATAATACGCTGTTGGAACTCCATATATTGGCTAAATAAATATTTTAGTTATAAATAATAAAATTCCGACCAAATATTTGTGAATTTGACTCGAAAAAAAATGCATAGTTTAAATAAATAGCAATTGCATGAAAATAAAAATAAAAATATACAATATTTTTTCTCCTTGTAGAAAATACACCATTTGAACTTCATTACTTTGGCTAAATCTTTTTTTATTTGGCTAAAAATAATGGAGTTTCAACTAACTTTTTTAGATTTGGACCGGAAAAAAACGATAAAAAAATATATTGTTGAAACATATATTCATTGTATCTAGAAAAAAATACAATTGAGATAAAATATGCCATGTATATTAAGAAGAATAACGTGAAATGCAATTGGAACAAGTAATTCAGGCATACATGTTTGAAAACTCATGTACTCCGGAAATTCAAGTTGGAATTCTTAAAACAAATGAATTCTCTCTCAAACTTCCTCTCCTCCGGTTCTAGTTTCTCAGTTTAACCAAGGCACTTCAACAGTTAGCTTACTATGTCCATTTAACCGACTTCCTCACCTATGGAGCCACCAGACATCAGTTCCATGAAAATTGATGGTCCCTCCACTAGTCCCCATAAATCTTCCTTCGTGCAGACTTTGCTTTCCAATACCTAACTCACACACTTTTCTACTAAATGTCTTACCAATCATCACACACTAGATCTCACTGACGAAACAGACCTGTAGTAGAATCAAATGACTTCAATCCATTGTCTTCCTCTGATAAATCTCGTTTGTATCTTCCTTGGTAATTTCCTGTCATAGTTAAAGTTTTTGGCAAAAAAGTGGGTCACCAAGCCCTAAAACAAAAACTTACTGCTTTGTGGAAATCCACTGAGGCGTTGCCGCTAATAGACCTAGGATCAGATTTTTTTTTAATTAAATATTTTAAAGAGGAAAATTTAAATAAAGCTTTACATGATGGTCCTTGGTTTATTTTTAATCACTTTCTTTACGACACTGATATCCTCCAACGAGTTGGACAAAAAATAGGTAAACTACTCAAAGTAGATACCTGTACCTCTTCAACCACGAGCGGCCGCTATGCGCGCATATATGCATAGAGGTACCTATTGAAAAACCTCTAAAGACTCATGTATACATTGGAACACATCGCCAATATATTTGGTGTGAGGGTCTCAACCTTCTCTGCACTTGTTGCGGCTGCCTAGGACACTTACCACGCCACTACCCAACACCTTTATCGTTACCCAACCCAATTTCACCCTCTGTATCAACCATCATACCCCCTCATGCACTTACTCATGTCAACCAAAACGATACTCCTCCTAAAGATACGCACCTACCTACTGATGAATGGAAAACAGTGACATTCCCTCGTTGTCGTCAGCACTTCATCAAAGGTAAGCAATCAGATGGCTATGAAAATGCACGAACAGGTGCAGTCACGAGAGCCACGTCATCCATTCAAGGTAAGGCGGGTACCCCAATAGGCTCTACAGGTATGCCACTCTCTTTGTCTACAGAAAACCCTAGCTCTAATAATATTAATTGTTCAACCTCCCCTTCACCCAATAGTATTCTATCAAATAACTTGTTTAATAATTTGGACAAAGTATCTACTGAATTGGCCCTTCCCACACATCTAATATCGGACCCCACTTTTTCTAGTAATAATTTCCTTTCAAATCAGCTACTTTCACGCTTTCCAACCCCTCAATCCAACTCTGAAACCACCGCCCCTCTTACCCATTCAGAGGCCTCTTTGCCCGCTCCTACTAAATTACCCAAAGTACAAGCCTTCTTCACAAATAACAATCTGGGTTGCCCAAGCCCAAAAAGTCCCAAGCCACTAACGCTCCTAAACCAAGTAATTCCATTTCCTCACATCCTAATATTGTACCTGATCCACCTTCCAAGAAGAGCAATGATAATGTCCCCACACAATCTCCTAAGACTGATAGCCCACAATTAGGTTCACGCACACACAACCAATTCATAATACTTCCGTATCTCTTGAACACCACTCTCACCTCAACTCTTCTACTTCATCCTCCGTCCTTGGTACTAAATATGTCATACTATCACCAACATTGTCCATTCCCAGGACTTCATATCCATCACACTCCTCAACCACCCTTTCATCTTCTACCTTCATTGTCAAACAACATGCCAACTCCTCCACCAATGAATCCCTTCCGTCACATCTTCACATCCCAAACACCCCATCGACTCCTCCCTCCAGCGCAATCGTGGCTAGAAATGGGTCTCTTGGGTCATGCACTAACTTTTTCTCTTATTCTCAACGATCAATAGATACTCATAATGATTCAAAATCCGCTGGATATAGCCCAGATAGTGTCAGAGGGGATGAGATTAGGTTGGGAGGCATACACACAATATCAAACACTCATGTCCTAATCCCAACCACCGTTACCGCCTTATCAAACTTGGCAGACCCC